AACTGGGTGCTGAAAGAGCTACAGCACCGGGGATTTGTGCCCGGGAGTCGGGATTTAAGCCGCGGAGCTGTGCGCTTTGGGGGAAGGGGCTGGTATCTGCCCGGCCAGCGGGGCTCTGGCAGAGCCGGGTAACAGGCACTGAGCCGGGCTGCTCTAGGTTAGCCTGGGATCGGATACAGCCCCCCCTAGGCCAGACCGCTGCAGCCTGAGAAGCCAAAACCCGATAGGGCTGAATAGCGGACAGTTGCTCTTAGGCAGGACCAGTGGCTCAGTCAGGGATTTGAGGGTGTGAATTCTGGCACACAAATACAGTTTTAAGGCCTTTATCTCCAACCACGTGCTCTTTGCCCCGTGCAGTGAGTATCCACCTTGCCTAGGGCTTTGCACAAACGCAACCTTCGCTCCTAGAGCTGGGAGCCAGGCTGGGGGGGATCCCCGCAGCCACCCATGTGGGCTGCACTGCCTGAGCCTGGGAAGGGTGCAGAAGGCTGGCGAGCTGCCTGGGCCACAGTACAGCACACAACTGCGCTGTTCGGTACCTAAAGCAAGTTTGCTTCAGGAGTAGGAAGGTGAGATAATCCTGTAACTGTTCTCTTACCCCAGTACATTGCTGTGCACATCATACCGGACCAGATGATGTCCTTCGGGGGCTCCACTGATCCCTGCGCACTCTGCAGCCTTTACAGCATCGGGAAAATAGGAGGGCAGCAGAACAAGACTTACACCAAGCTCCTGTGTGATCTGATCTCTAAGCACTTGCATGTATCTGCAGACAGGTAAGGCTGGGATGTGATGTTATTAGCCTTGTTTATCTGGCTCTTTGAAACTGTTTTTAAAAGTTAATTTAAAAATCTGAAAAGCCAGAAGTGCACAGCCACCCCTGAGGGCCTGCTTGGCCCTGACTGCTTGACGTGTGATGGCCTGCAGCATGTGGAAACAAAAGGTTTTGATCTCTGGAAATTCTTGACAGGCTGCTACCCAAAAGCTGTCTGGTGACTGGACAGTCCCTGACTGAAGAAGAGTTTATATTTTAAAAAAGAAAAAAAATGTGTAATTCCATGGACTCTGAGTAATACTGATTGTTTGGAGGCTCTACCAGGGAAGTTAGCTAGGTTTCAGTAAAAATGAAGCTTGAAATTTCTTCTGAGGCATGGGAAGCAGTCCCCCTGTCCTGTTGTCCTGTCTCACTCATTGCTTACATAAATGAGTTAATAAGGTCATTGTTTGTGTCTTCCTGTGCCTCTTCTGCAGGGTGTACATCAACTACTTTGACATGAACGCTGCCAACGTGGGCTGGAATGGCTCCACCTTTGCGTAGAGTTCTCCCATCTGTCCGAAGAGGCTGCTCCTGGACCTACCCTCATCTTCCCCCTTAGCAGAGACCACTGCACAAACAGCCCTGTATTGCGTTTTGTGCACTCTCACAGATTGATGGCTCCCTGCTAGTGTGTTTAAATATTGCTGCTTCAACATTCCTCTGTTTTCTCTCTGTAGAAAGCAAATAAAAGATTTAGAAGTAAGCTGTCTGGTGTAGGCTTTGGCAGGTTGGGGATGGAGTTGGGCAATCGGCAACTTAACTGTTTCACTCAGGTTGCTAAAGCAAGCAAAAGGAATGCTGGGTTTGCTTCTATTCTGCAGACATGGTATTTCATGGTTAGACTGAGTGGCAGGTGCCTGACAGCAGTCCAGGGTGATTTTTACCTTGCTGGTCTCCAGAGGCTGTAGGTGCCTTCAGGGCTTCTTGTTGCCATGAGGTGGGGTTTTTTGGGTTGTTTTTTTTCGCTGTATCCTCCAGTGCCACAGCAGAAGCAGTCCTTGGGCTAGCCCTGTGCTCTGGGGAGGCTTTCCTCCTAAAAATGTGCTAGCCGTGTGGGGCAAAGCAAGCAAGGAAGGAGTGCTTTTGCTCACTGGGCCTAAATACTGCTACCCACGTTGCTTGTGCTGGCTGCCTTCAGGCAGGCAGGGGCTGCCCTCCGTGCTGCGGTAAGCCCCTGTGCCGGCGGCCGGCCTCTCCCCGCAGTGATGCTGTGC